CCAGAAAAAACGACTGACTATGGAACAAGAGGCCAGCCACTTTCGTCATTTAGCAGAAGAGTGGAATCGTACACTTGAGGAGGTGCATACTCTGGATGAATTTCAAGATTTTCTGTTACCCAAACCTTTCCATGAACTGAAACGAGCGAGCATCAACCGGCAGATTGTCATACTGAATGTCAGCACATATCGATGTGATGGTTTGATTCTCTCAGAAAATGGTGTAACACATGTTCCATTTCCAATAATCACCATGAAACATGTAATTGATTTGGCCAAGGCACTTCATCTAGTATTATCACCAAATGGAACTCGCTCGGCGGATATGCCTGAGCAGATTCACATAGCTATGCGATCTCTTCATGATGAACTGCACAACCAGAGTCGACTCCATCCAAAGATTCATCCTCAAAATCATCATATTTCTGGCACTAGGGCTGAGGTATTTCGGTCCATCTTGGAGATATTGTGGCTCTCTGTTGTTCATCCAGTAATTTGTGAATTAGGATTACAGGTAAAGACTGTTGCAACCCATCATCTCATAGAATACTGAATCTCTGTTGCAGCGGTCAGACTCACCTCCACGTCTCTGGTGGTGTCCAACTGGCCCCTTTGCTTTTCTTCCCATTCATGCAGCGGGAATCTTTGAGTCTTCAGGCATAGCCCTTGAGGATGTTTCCGACTATGTCATATCATCATATACACCCACATTGAATCCTCTTCTTGCTCAGCCATCCCAATTAGATGACACTTTCAAGGTGCTTGCTGTAGCTGAGCACAGCAGTCTGCCAGGAACGCTCAATGACCTACAAAGGATCAACAAATGGGTTCTGCCTAAACATTTGGTAGTACTCGGAACTACAGAGTCCCCCACTACAGTTGAAGATGTATTATCCCACATTTCGAGAGCCTCAATTGCGCACTTTGCATGCCATGGAACTCAGAATAATGAGAATCCATTCAAGAGTGCTCTTCAAGTTCTTCCAGATGATCATGTAGAAATTTCAAGAATAATAAAGTTACGTTTGAATGCATCGTTGGTGTTTCTCAGTGCATGTGAAACTGCCACAGGAGACGTGAAAATTCCTGATGAAGCAGTTCATATTGCCTCTGCGATGCTATTTGCAGGTTTTCAAGGTGTTGTGGGCACAATGTGGTATGTAACTGCTGTTCTCCTGAAAGTTCCAAGATGATTACTCATATTTATTTGAAGGAGTATTGGGGATGAAGATGCCCCAGATATTGTTGATAGCTTTTATGGATATCTGTTCAAAAATCGCTCAACACCAGATACCACAGAGGCTGCACAAGCTTTACATTTTGCGGTGAAGAAAATGCGCAAAGACAAGAAATGCTCATTTGAGGACTGGGTTCCGTTTATTCACTTAGGACTTTGATTAGTATTCTATAACTGGCTTGTTCATTCAAGTATTTTTTTTGGTCATAAGCTCAACCAACCCCCGCTCCAAATAGGGAAGGATAATATCATATGCTGTTTGCGGCACAGCTCAATCTTGTTACATTAATGCTACTTTGTTCTTAATTTTCATTATGTTTTTGCATCAAAGCACGTGGCAAGTAAGCGTAAGAATCGACCTTATGTATAGTGAATACCGAAAATCAGAGCCCTTTTGAGACAATGTGTATGGCACATATAGTGTCAAATAATTAAGCATAAATTTATACCAGTGGGCAGTGCTTTTGCGGACCTAACTTCAATATTTTGAGCATCTTGGACACAAGTCAAGATACATATTGTGGACCTAAGTAAGACAAAGATTTTTGAGTAAAACTATGCTTTTGCGGACCTCACTTTTGCGGACCTCATTTTTTATTTTTGCGGACCTCATTTTTGCGGACCTCATTTTTTATTTTTGCGGACCTCATTTTTGTGGACCTCACTTTTGCAGACCTCACTTTTGCAGACCTCACTTTGCAGACCTTACTTCTGTAGACCTTACTTTTACGGACCTTACTTTTACGGACCTTTTGGCCTGAGGTCTAGTCAGCATATTTTAGTATGTTCTTCGGCTGACCGGCTGACCAACGCCGAATTAGCGCCCGGTCACATGGTATCTTCATTGCCTCTCGGTTTCGTCTTCTCTTCAGTATGCCAGAGACTGGTGTAGTGACCGGCTTTGCTAGAGAGATTATGGGTCACCTGGAATATCCAGTAAATTGTGTGCTGACGATCCGATTGAACATGGTAAGGGGCTCAGTCTGATGTTATCTGGTATTATAGTTTTGACACCATCAGGAAACAGTGAAATGATACGGACTGATACACACAATGAGGCTTTTTCCATGTATAGCGTATACAATCTGTATTGATCTGTATACTTTGCAGGCCAGTATGTACTACGAGTATACCCTGTATCAATTTGTATTTGATGGGGGGGCCTCCGTATATAATTGTACTGCTTCACATTATCGGGCCATTGATCTGTCTACATACAATTTCAGGTGGGCGGGCGCCGGGAACAGGCCACCTTGGCTTGGCCGCTTATTGGAATATTATTATTATTCAAGTTGGAAGTCGATGCCTGCCCTACACTGCTCACATGGTCATGCCATGTCACGTTCATGTTGGTTAAAAATTCTTTCTTCCTTTCAGCCGTCTCCTCAAGGCTTTCTCCCGCTAACACTATCTGAATGGCCTCAACCTCTCAACATCTCACTGTCTAGAGAATCTAATGCTCTCACTGCGCTTCTCATTTCTTCTTCAAAATTGCTTTGGCTGCTTTCGGTCTTCAAGGTGCCTTTTCAGCACATCAAGAGCTGGCAAGAGCTGGATGATACAGGGTGAATCGGTACATCGTTCTTTATATATCTGGTAGTTGTTCTATCTGACAACGTTCCTTTTTCATTCCTGCTTCCGCTTCAGCGCTATATGGTACGTCTCATGTTCTAGCCATTGTTCTCTCTGACGACGTCAGTATAGTTCTTCGCCTCCCAGTCTGCCTCAATTCCTACCACCTCTTAACTCAGTTAAGTTTTCGTTACTTGTCGGTCGTGTTTTCTCGTTGGTCGTGTTTTCTCGTTGGTCGTGTTTTCTCGTTGGTCGTGTTTTCTCGTTGGTCATGTTTTCTCGTTGGTCGTGTTTTCTTGTTGGTTATATTTCTCGTCACTCGTTGCTTGTATTTTCTCGTTAGTCGTGTTTTCTTGTCGGTCATGTTTTCGTTACTCGTCAGCTACGTTTTCGTTGCCATCTCAGTTACATTTTTGTTAGCTCTGTCTATTATATGAGTTGTCTGTCTCAGCTATGTATATAGTCCTGTTTATTAGTTACGTTTTTGTTACTCGTATTACTACATTAATGAAAGGCGTATGCTCCCCTTTGTTGGACACGAGTATTCCGTAAGTAATTGCATGACAACCTGCAGTAAATAGCATGGATTGTGGCAAATCTAACCTGTCCTGACTGAGATGTAGTGCTCTGGACAGATATTGTATATGTACAGTATGTGAAGTGAGAGTATATGTAGTGTACAAGGTATGCATATTGATACTGTGCACTTAGTGAGGGTATACATACTATACAGAGCGATACAGTATCATACGTACAGGGGGACCTTTAAACAGCTATACAATAGATACATATGATACGTACAGGGTCATATAAGGGTTATTTTTTCCTGATGACGTTTTGACGCGTTTTGTACATGTATTGTTCGCGTTTTTTGATGTAGGAGTCTTTACATCGATGGAGATGGGTGTGCCTTGGCCACTGGAGCAAGACCGACGGCTAGACCTCACCCATTGCTGTACCATGACCATGACTTTCTACCACTGCTTGTTCACTGTTTTCAGCTTGGCATACTTAATCAGTTGTTAATCAGTCTTCTGAAGGCACATATGGTACCGCTAAAAGTGCAGTGGATGTACATTCATCTTCATACATTAGCTAGATACTTTTAAGGGGTTCAGCACTATAGCAAAATACTTACTTTTGCTATAACAGTATATATCAGTGTCCCAGGCCCGGATCAGCAAAACCTGTATGCACGGGAAGCTGCTTTCCGGCACTGTACAGCGCTGGGGGCCGCTGGGAGCCGATGGAACCGGCTGTACGGTGCCTGACAACGGCTCCAGCTTACCCATGTTTTGCTGATCGATTTGCTCACCTTCAAATGTAGCCTTGACACACTTGAGTAGCCCACTGGCATGGAACTTAAGAATACGCAGAATTTAGTTTCACTGGTCATCATTGATATTCTAGGAATTGTGAATGAGCTCAGAATGAGCTTGTCAGAACTTATAGTAAGCGCCGATAACGCCTTTAACGCTGGAGGCGCCTAATCAGCAATCTAATCAACATTTGTCATCCATAGAACTTTGGACTTTGGACTTAATCTGTGTCCAACTTGATAGAAAATAAGTATGTCTGACTTCGATGAGTTGTTTCCAATTTGAGTCGATGAGATTTGAGTCCCTAAAACCTGGATCCCAAAACTTGTGTCCACAAAACCTGTGTCCGCAAAATGCATGTCCACAAAACACATGTCCACAAAACTCATTTCTGCAAAACTCCTAAAAGTTGTGTCCACAAATCTTATGCCTGACTTGACCTTAGTTCAACCAGACATTTTGTTCAAGTTAGGTCCGCAAAACAGTTATCAAAAGCTAAAGTGTCCGTAAATGACTATTTTACACTATTTTATGAAGTTAGGTCCGCAAAAGTGGTGCCGAAGGCTAAAGTGTCCGCAAATAATTATTTGACACTATATGTGCCATAAATGTGTGACCCTAGAGTCTTGATGATAACTACAGTGTGATAAACCAAGGTCTGGAGACGTTGGGATCAGGTTCAGCCGAGTCCAAAGAACCTGACCACTATCATCCGAGTTGCGGGTAAACCTCGAGGAAACTGGCAGCTGAAGGATATAAACATATCTAGCCTGGCAAGTTCTTCGAGGTAGAGAGAGCACTGTCATTGAAAAATATGCTATGAAGTCCTACAGCGAGTGGATAAAAAACTCAAAGACAGACTAGACTGCTATCACTCTGGCTGGGAGTCGAACCCAGCTTTCGCGCGGTATCAACAACATTCAAGAAAACTTTCATGACAGGTGCGTGTACTAGTCAATATACTACCAGAGAGACCTTAGTACATCGTAGTCGCACAATCGATTATGGTATAGAGAACGCTGTGGAAATTTGAGTCACCAAGAGAAAAAGCTCGCAGCCTCTGAGGGATATCGATGTAATGAAGTACGTGACGACGATATATGGACAGTTTCGAGAACTCGTGAACTTGAGTCACCAAGAGAAAAAAACTCACATCTTCTGAGGGACTCTGATATCGATGTAATGGCCATACACTGAAGTACGTGACGACGACATATGAACAGTCTCGATGTTGGATGACGAAAACGGGGGAGAAGTTGGAAAACTTTGAGAATCTGGAGCGGATCACTCCACTAGCGTCCAGAGGACATCATGCGAGTCGCAGACCGGAAGCTAGCAAACACGGTTGAAGCATTCGAACAATATTTATACATGCGAGTACAATGCTAAATTACAATCAAGTTCCCTGAAGAAGCGCACAAAGTGAAAGGATTGAGAAAATAGGTTGATTCTGGTATCTGGTCCATTCTGTGGTTCCACGTAACTTCTAGTTATAACAGTCCTCATTCACGGTCCTCAGCCCTCATCAACTGTCCTCATCAACGACCCTCGTCCACGCTCCCATCCACACTCACCCAAGAACAATCACCAAAACAAATTCCCAAACACACTCCCCTTCCATCCTTATACCCTCCCCCAAGTAAACTCCAACAGCAACACTAACAGGCCTCATCGGCGTCGAGTCAAACACGTGCGGACAGGGCTGAAGCAACGGCGTCGGAGTTAACCGCGGTGCTGATAACTCGCGTTCGTAGATCGACGGCTGGCGTGGTGCGGAAGAAAGTATCGAAGAAGGCGATTTCAAGAGGGAGAAGCTTGAGGATGAAGATGGGGACACGGGGGCGTCTGAGAATGGCAAGGAAGTAGCAAGTGGTACATTGATGTCGAACGAAGCTCGGGCTGCTTGGAGCCGGGTTAGAATCTAGTAAATGATCAGTATCAAGCCAGGAAATCGGATAGACATAGTTCACGCCAATCGACTTGCCTGTTGATAAAGCCTAATCTCACCATCCAGATGATCCTTTGCCAAAATCGCGAAATCTTCGACCTTCTGAGCATGATACGTCTCCATCTCTGCCATAGTCGTGTTAAGCACCGTTTCACATCGGGAAGCTAGTTCATCGTCCGTCTATGAGAACAGTCAGGTTAGAGGTCTTCGGAGTAAATGACCAAACACACGTACATTGCCCTCCCGACCAGCTTCTCGATATCTGGTAAGAGTCGATCTATGAGTGCTCACAACACCTTCATATGTCGGTGAAGGATGGGCAACACTTTTCAACGATTCATGCGTCGCAAGTTGCGTCCGGCGAGCCTAGAAAGAAAACGAAAGCAACGTCAACATTGACACAAAATACGCATGGAGGGATAGAGAACTTACATGATCATCGTACAAATCTGCAACAATCTGTAAGGTCTCCGCGGTCTTCTGCAGCGCCTTCGTCAAGGTCAAACATTCCCTACACCCTTCTCTCCAACACCATGCTCCGTCCGCGTTCATACATCCCTTCCCCTTATATCTAAGCTTCGATTTCTGCCCATTCGATAAGCCAGAGCCGGATGCCGTGGGTGAAACTTCTTCCTCGTCCTCGTCCTCTTCCATAATTCCACGGATGTGAGGCGATTGACCAGAGGACGCAAGAGGTTTAGAGGTGATGAGGGATATGAGAGAGTAGGATAGTAGACGTTCGGCTTTCGACATTTCTGTCAATATAATGATATGGTTAGTATATGTGACTAAGAAGAGAAATAGGATCTCACCAATTCTAGCTTCCCTAACACGCCCAAATATTGCCCTCAAACCTTGCACGCCTTTCCCAACTGCTTTCGTGTGCTCCGCAAAGCGCTCTACGGCCTCCTCGGCGTCTTCGATGTCAAGATTGAACGCCGGATGAAAGACTTGCGCGTAGAATGAGGGTCCAGCAGGTGCTTGTGCGAGATGGAAAGGAGCCAGACGTTTCCATTCCTAGTGAAGGAGATTGTAGTCAGCCACCCCGCAAACAGGTAATGAAGTTCACGCTACTTACTGAATCGCTCTCGCAGCTCAAAAACCATGTCACGACTTCTGCATATCTAGCGATTGGATGCCTGACGACTCTGCCTATGTATCGTTCAAGGTCTCCTCTCCTAGCTTCAACGAAATCATCACTGAACCTTCCAGCATACTGCTTCTCCGGAAGCGGAGGCAGAGCGATTCCTGGAAGCCTACGAGAGAGCGCAGTGTGAAGAATGACGAAATGGGAGAAGCGACGCTGGACGGTGATGCGTGTGGGCGATGGAGGTGGCGAAGAAGAGTCGGAATGTGGAGCATTGAATAGCGAGGTGACGTTGTACACAGTATAAGCGCCAGAAAGTATCGAAGTTCGTTTAGAGGGCGAATGAACGATGACTTTGAAACAAGGGAAGTTTGGATTTCCAAGCATGCCCAGCATCGACAAAATGACGATCAGCTGAGGACGTATTTATACCAGAAGCGTGTTCCTCAGCTTCAACAAGCTCTGGATCAATACTTTCTTCGTCTTCAGAAGATGAAATCTTTTCATGACTTGGCCAGACGCTTTCGCCGAAATGTGTAGTCGCGGTGATGACTGTATCTGCAGCTTTGCCCTTTAGAACCCATTCTTCTGCTCCGCTGGTAACGAAATTCGAAAATCTATTCAGGCTTTTCCCGCCTAGAAGACTTTGTTTGAAACTCGGGAACATCCATTCACCAGTATGTTGGGGCATGATAGGTGCCGAGGAAGTATTTCCGACAGAATTTCTGGGCGTTATTGAGCCTGAAGATGGTGCCCTCTCCCGTCTAGATTGTGTTGATGCATCTGCCTCGAAGGTGGAAGTAAAATCTGATGTAAACTGATAGTTTCTTCAGCGCCTTGTCAAAGCGATTAGCAAACGACGCACTGTGAGATAAGATCTCGGTAATAAGCCCATTTCGCCTTGTACATCGCTGACTAGACTCCAGCCATCGGCGAGTTCTTCTTTGACCACTTGAAGCTCATCACCGGCGCGAACTGTGAGCTCGCGAAACTCGGCTTTTCCGTCAAAGTCATACAATGCTCTCGCTGGTCTTCGATTGGTCTCCAGTGGTTGTTCTTCGTCGGACAGCTCGGATTCGGTGGAATGCTGATGTAAAGTCCATGCTGTAGAAGCATTGATACCAGCGTCGAATTCAACGGCAGAATAAGGGCGATTTGCGCCAGACGAACTGGACTTTGTAGATCGTGGAAGAGTCGCCATGATGGAAGGTCATGAAAGAGATACTAAATAGGAGTTCTCTCAGCTGTCAGCGTGTCCATGTCAAACTTGCAAACTTGATTCCGCCTGTAAGTCGCGATCGGAATCGTCTACAAAGCCCTGCAGCTGAGTTGCTGGTATAAATTTGCCAAATAACAGTCAAGGACAGTGAAAGAGGCTAGTATAAGCGCTCGCTCTTCCGAGCTTCTGATCAACCGGCAATCAATTGGCCGAGTCTGCAACCAGCGAGTCCCCAGCGCATCAACGACAATGGTCTTGGGCCTAGGGTACATAGATGCAGTGTGTCGGTGCTGTATGGTGAGGATTCCAGGAGATTATTATTACATTGAGCGTATGAGCTTGCTATCTCATGAACTTATGGGCGCGATATCGGATAAGGTTCCAGCGACGAACGTATGCAAAGTTGTGATTTACTGGACGGATAGAACAGTTACCAATAGATAGACCTGGCAAAAAGCTGAATGCTGCCGGCGTCCTTCATCATTTACCATACGGAATATATACGACGACAAAACTGACAGTGGATCCTATACGTACCTTTCTGCATGGGTTGATTATGTAGCTACGTATACAGTAACACTAGTCCAATTCCGACTCACATGTACTTACAGCCGATCAACAAGATGCACGGTCGAGAAATGTGGTCCAGTTCCTAGTGTACAAAGCTTGCTGACCCACGCAAGCGACGCATTGTTTCCAAAATATGGCCTTGGTTAAGTAGCGCCGGCTGTATCTGGTCATTGATAATGAACAGCGGATTGGGATGGTATTGAAGTTGTACATCTAACACCGGGGGCAAGGACCGGCGCAGTTGATTTCCCACTGCCATTAACGCAGTGGTCAATGCAGGGGGTAACGCAGTCGATTTTGTGATGTCATTCTATTGAAACAGAGTTCCGGCCGGCGGCAAGTGAATAAATGATTGATGCCTGATGGACCTTCCCCCTTGCAGCGTTATAGTTAAGTGATCCTGGAGTTCAAGCCTGGTCAAGTGCACTTCTACTTCTGACTTATTTTTCGCTCCGAGGGATAGTGCTAATATTTACCAGACTAGAACCAAGAAGTCACAATACTAAGTGCTTGGCCTACATAGCAATCATCTGCACAAACTGGCAAGAGTTGGGCAAGAGCATGAACAGGGAGCAGCCACTTGACAAATTAGAAGCACCCATCTATGGCAGGGTCTCAGAGGGTGATTGGTTCCATGATACTTTATTCCTTGCATGCTAATTATCTGACAATTTGCTATTGATAGAATTTGATACCATTGAGATGTTGTCAAAATTTGTCAAAATATCATAGGTCAGCCAAATGCTGAAAGTACTACTATTACTCTCAATTCTGTGCAGCTCATTGCTGTACTGCTTAGACAGTGTGGTGATAGGGCTGAGTGGCACAATCATGATGGTAAACAGCAAACATCGGACATCATTTACTTATACATCAGGAAAAGCCGTTTTTTGCCTAGGTGACCCCAGAGTGGCCTAAAGCAAACTAGGTGACCTATGAATCCTATGGCATCCTAGGAATTTGGGCTCGTCCCTTGCCAGCCAAGGCTCTTGAGGATTCCCTAGGGTATCCTAGGCAAACCCAGGGCAAGCCTAGGTTTGCCCAGGTTTGCCCAGGTGTTCCCCAGGTGTTCCCCAGGAGCACCTGGGCAAACCTGGGCAGACCTAGGCTTGCCTAGGGAATCCTCAAGAGCCTTGACTGGCAAGGGA